TATAAACGAACGGGTACAGGCAGAACACTGTTACTTCACAAACACTGATGATGTTACGTCGGCTGATGATGAAACGTTTGCAAACAAATTGCCACGCTCAGCGAACAGGCGAAATGGAAGTGAAATTGGTTGTTGTATTCGTTGCAGTCGTGCACATATCTCACTGGACCTTTGGGATCAGGGTTGCTTTCTTTATTGTCACCTACCTTACAATTTGCTTGAAAGCCCCTCCACGGTGAATCTACTGTAAAACGTGTAGTGGGAGCGTCAGTGAGTGGCCCGTAATTGTGCGGCTTGTTGACACAACACCAGTTGTACAATAATTCAGGCTGCTTTCGCCGAAATACACCTGCCAGTGTTTCAAGTGAAGTCAGAGCTGAATTCGGTCCTGCATACTATATCATCTTGACTGGATCCTAGCTCTTTAGAGCTGATGACGATGTGCTTGATTTGATCCCATCCCTGTGAGTATGCATACGGTTTTTCATTTGAAGCGGCGTCATTTCATGCGAGAGATGTTGTTGCTCATCCGAAAGAAACCGGGGTCCGCGCAAAGTTGCAGTACACGACTATTTTTCCGTCTCGTTTTCTGAGATTGCATGTGAACCCTCAGGAAACCCATGTGATTCGTTCACGCATAAAACAGGGATGTTGAAATCTACAGTGACCGCTGTGTTTTCCGTGAACCGAATACTTTGGCGGAATTGAAGTGTTATTTAGCATTTGACTCACAATTACTTGTGAATAGTGTGTACTGAGGATTGTGCGTGAAGATGAAGTCCGAAGAACAGTTAGCTCAAATCGATAGAATAAATCCAATGGGCCTCTGTAGAACGGACCTAATTTTCAGAAAAACGGCAGTCATTCGTGAAATGTACGGACACGACGACACTTCGTTCTGTAGCTGCTGACCAGTGCTGAACCGTCGCGTGAATTCGATTACCAACCGGAATCCAGTGAAGAAGGTGGTTTTCGGTCTTGACACTTAGAGCAATCCATGTATCGTCAACACCGCCAGCTTCGGTTGCGGAATCACCTGGCACACGGAGAGTAAAACGTGACAACGAGTGTGTATCTGAAGATCGCAATGTGAGGACTGAATGAAATTATGTAATGCGTGTTTGGAAAACACGCATTACATAATTTCATTCAGTCCTCACATTGCG